CAGGACGTGGGAGCAGTGTGGCCAGATACTTTCTAGCGAAGACAGAAAACTTTTACATGAAAGTGCTGGCCCTGTGTAGGTCAAAGGAAGCAGGCCTGCAGGCCCACTATAAGCCTTCTCTAGCCCACAGGCTGCTAGTTTGGTAACTGTGATCTAGGCAAATTTTTATCTAAGAAGAAATCAAAGTTTTATTATACACACAGACTAGCAGATTTTTAAAATAAAGAAGTGTCAGTTGAAAACAAGAAAGGCTTTAGAGGCATACAGTGGAATGTATATCTATCTACTTTTCAATACCAAATATGAAGTTCAGCACTTCCCCGTTACCATGTGGTGACCCAAATGAGTGCAGTGTCATCACCAAAACCTTTTAATAAGGAATCATGCTTTGCAGGAGACTTTACTGGGTTCCATCAAAGCAAAGACACAGGAGTAGCCCATGGATTTCCTGCAGACATTGCTTTCCTTCAGATGTTTCAGAAAGCTACAATGAGTGTACCAGCAGGACTTAGTCCCTTGTGAAATGTTGATTTGCAATGTTCACCCATGTGTCCATGTCTTGGACATGTCCAAGATAGTCTCAGTGGAGTACAACTTAGACCTCCCCAACATTCAGCACACTTGACTTTGCCGTGAGTCAAAAACATATATTAAATGAGCAAAGGCATAATCTCACAAGCCATATCCAAAAGCCGATGAATGGAGGAATTTTTTTTTAATGGTAGATGTACAGTGTTCTCTTAAAGGAAATACACTGCTGTGTAAAAGTCAGGATCTCAAATCATTAAGCCCCAAATCAGCCCAGGGTATCCAGCACACATCCCAAATTATCTACTGCTCAGATTCAAAGTGTGAAACAGCAGCCCTAGGAGGCATTTTCTGGAGGTCTGTGGAATTTCTGAGGCCCCCACACCAATCAATATTTTCCAAAATAAGTGCTAGTAAAGAAGACGTTCCAGGTCTAATCTGGTAAAATTTAGCAGCTAAATGGTTACTTTCAGGCCTGGTGCAGTGGCTCACGCCAGTAATCCTAGCACTGAGGGGCCGAGGTGAATCGCTTGAGCGCATGAGTTCAAGACCAGCCTGAGCAAGTGTGAGATTAGCCGAGTGTGATGGTTTATGCCGGTAATCCCAGCTACTCAGAAGGCTGAGGCAGGAAGATTGCTTGAGCCCAGGAGTTTGAGGTTGCAGTAAGATATGATGACACCACTGCACTCTAGCCTGGGGGATAGAGTGAGACTATGTCTTAAAAAAAAGGTTACTTTCTATTGATTCTACAAAGGTTTGGTCTCACTCATTTGGGTGTAGGGCCACCATGCTGCCAGCTCCATGAAGCACCATTCATACTATGTTCTATATGAATAGAATACTCTGGAGTTATACAATGCAGAGGCATTGACTGAGTCTATCTAGATCAAAAAAGGAGCTTAAAGTCTTAAAAAGCCTCAGCAGTTTCACAAGAAAGCTTCTACGAGGTGATGATTGACAGCTTGTAGAAGGCTGCTGGGAATCTGTAATACACTGACTGTGGTGTTCTACTATTCTGTTAACATACAGTTGCTTGCACTTGATGACAGATGCTACTAAACCCTCAGCAGTGAAATTTGGGGGACATTTTAAAATATCTTTGGGAAAACCAAACCAAACCAAACAGACTTGCATCTACTCATACAAATCGTGGTGAAGTCCCCTTGTAACCTAGACAGTCAGGATGAAGGTGCAGAGTATGACTATGGAACAGGATGCCCTACTCTGGCTTTCAGTCCACAGCCCACATTTATTAGGATGCTGCCTTCTCTAAACTAGTGAGGAAATATTTTAACCAGCCAATGATTTACGAAAACTAGACATTTTTTTTTTTTTATATATATAAAACTGAACTGTAAGACATGTTTTTTTAATATGCACCAGCTTCTAGGTCTTCATCAATGGGACTGAATCAGATCACATTTCTACTACCCTTCAGAATGGATGTAAATTACCTGGTTATGCCAACATTGTTAACTCTCTAGCCTTCACAGTGCCAGGGAAAATTTTAAATTTTATTTGACATCTTTAGAGATCCCTTTCCAATCTAAGAATACCATGCTCAGAGTGAACTAACAACGATTATTGGTTCACTTTGTTGGAAAGCGTCCAAAGGATATAAAAGGAGGCTTCAAGATGCCAGAAGGAAAGCTTAGTGGATTAGGTGCTGGACTCCACATACCAGACTTAACAGCAACTTCAGGTTCATATCCTAGCAAGGTCAACTCAGAGGGCCTCCCTCTATTATGATGTGCCAGAAAAACAGACAACTTATGGCACTCTGGCAAATTTAAGAGGGACTTACAGACTGTTGCTGGGGTTTATGAGGACACATAAGGCAGGGGGGGGGAGGGGAAGCTGTGCAATCATTTATGTAAAGAAATATACTGTTGGCTGGGTGTGGTGGCTCACGCCTGTAATCCTAGCACTCTGGGAGGCTGGGCAGGAGGATCACTCAAGATCAGGAGTTCAAGACCAGCCTGAGCAAAGAGTGAGACCCCATCTCTACTAAAAATAGAAAGAAATTACCTGGACAACTAAAAATATACAGAAAAAATTAGCTGGGCATGCCGGCTAATTAGGGTGGCGCATGCCTATAGTCCAAGATACTCAGGAGGCTGAGGCAGAATTGCTTAAGGCATGAGTTTGAGGTTGCTGTGAGATAGGCTGATACCGCAGCACCCTGGCCTGGGCAACAGAGTGAGACTCTGTCTCAAAAAAAAAAAAAAGAAAAAGAAAAAAAAGAAATATACTGTTTTTTTCTGGAGAAAAAAAAATCATATCTCTGCAATATGCTGTGTATAAAATGTAGAATTAGAACCATCACCATCCAGAGGCCCATATGAGATTCTTCAAGGTAAGCTTTACCATAAGTATGCAGTGTTATAGATTTCTAACATTCCACTCTTGCTCAATGTCAATTTATAAAATAAACCTAAAGTTACCCACAAACCTGTGTTTTCTTTAGCTTTTAAAGGCCATCAAATCCTTGGAGATAGTATGGACCTCCAGCTGTTAACACTCAGAAGGAACACACTTACAGCCCTGTCTCCATTGGGCTTATTACTGCTCCAGTCAATGGTGCATTTCAGAGCTGAGAACAATTCCAATGAAGTTTTCACTGCCAGTAGTAAACACCACTGCTTCAACAATCCACATTAGGTCAGCATTTAACAGAGGGTCTCCCTCTCGAGCAGGTTGTCCAAGGATATGAGTTCAACTACTGGCTCAAGAGAAGTGAAAAGTCTTCTCAATGGTTCAAAATTCATTTTACGTTCAACTACAGGCCTTCTGCCAACTGAGGATCTCAGCTCTTTAGGGTAGTGACTATAATTCTTCCTGTACACAAAAGGCCAACAAGGTGACTGTCACACATCAGCACAGAGTGAAAGCCATTATATGTATTAGTAGCCAGTGAGAAACAAGGTTCAGGACCCTGTACTGTAGAGTAGAGAGTACTGTAACACACCAAGCAGAATGGTGGAAGGGGAGCTGGGTGGCATGTTCATCCATACAGCCAGTGGGTGGCTTTGAAGTCTAAGTAAGATGGATACTCACTACTGTACTGGTTGGCACCTAGACAGTAAGTAACAATTCAATTCATCAGATAAAATTTTAGGTGGAACCACAGGTTTGGAAAGTTCTGGGATCCAGTATGTCTACAGATGCATCAGTATTAACATGAAAAGTCAGTATCTGGGAAACAGATAGGGGTCCCTCCCCTGGAATACTGGAAAGAGATGTAAAGACCATATCTTCAAGCGCCCAAGTGGAGACCTTCTTCTAACACAGTGAGTTCTGTGGCTTTCTGTTAGGAATCAAGCAGTAATTAGTTATAGCTCAACTTTTAAAGTATCAGTTCACTTACAATTACATAGGAAGGGATGATGAACATAAGACATTCAACAGATAAGTTTAAGTGTTATGGCTAACTTGTCAGTATGTTTTAGACACAATACAAAAACACGTTCTGTTCTAAGCACCATTCCAGAAGCCAGCGAGTATTTTTGGCAGGTCCCATATTCATTCTCTAGGGAAGCTTGCAACCTCTTAAAAACCAGCTGACAAAATGCACGACACTGTCAGATGGTAAAGTTCCACCATCAGAACTAGTCCACATCACGTTACTCCCAGTAGAGGAAAACTACTGCCATAAGCAATTTCTACCTCTTGGGGACCATTCACTCCCATTTAACACCTCCCTCTCTCCCCTCTCCAAAGAGCACCCTCAAAAATAAGATGCCTTCACCGTCCTTCCACTCCACCCTCAAAATACAGAAAGTTTTAACAAGCTGCTGGACGTGAAACAGCTGCCTTGTGTTTCTATCCAAATCCACACCGTGAACTCCCTAGCCCTCTCCCCTCGCGAACCTCAGAACCCCACGCGGGCTACCCTGTGGGTCTGCTCCGGGCATAGGGGTGCTATGGGGCCAGGCGCTCTGGGCAAACCCTTTCCCAGCGGCTTCAGGCACCTGGAAGACCCGCCCGACAGGCTGGGCCCGGCCTCTCGCTGGCGCCTCATCCCAGGTTTCTCTCGGCTGCACGAGCCCCACGGAACTGGCCGGCCCAGCTGAGGCGTCGGCCCAGGCTGCCTCCCGCCCCCTGGCCCGACCCCCTCTTCCCCACCCGCCGGCCCCGCCTCGGGTTCCCGTACTCCTGCCAGCCGGCCGCGCCCGTACCTGCCGGACTCGGTGCAAGGCGTCCACGAAGCCCTCGGCCTTCATGCCCACCGGAGCGCTCTGCCCCTGCACCAGCTCCGCCATTGCCGGCCCCTCCGCCGCCGCCGCCGCCGCTCGGCTCCCCGGTCCGGCCTCCCGCTCCGCTTGGGGACCCGTAGCCGGAAAGGGAAAGTCGCCCTACTTCCGGCGGAAGGGAAGCCGGGACGCTCGAGGAGAGAGGAGCGGCGGCTGCGGGGGCGGAGTCAGGGCACGTGACCGCAGTCCGGCCGGAAGTGGGGGGCGGGGCCGCCGCGAGGGGCGGGCCCAGAGCGCAAGGCAGTCGTCTGGTTTTGAGGGCCGCGTCCACACGCCGCCGTTCCACGAGGCGGGTTGGTCCAGCGCCATCGAAGATGTGATGACAACTGGTCCTTGAGGCCCGAGTGTGGTCCCAAGGTGTCCGGCTGCCGGCCGTTTGGAGTCTCAGAGAGGAGTGACGTGGCTTTCCCAAGACGGCACCCCAGCTGTCATGGCTCACTAAGAGCCTGACCCTTGGCAGCCCTCCCTGAAACGGACTTTGGTTTGGAATATTGGGACGGTCGCTTTGTAATGGCACCGTGAGCACCAGAGTGAGGCATGGAGGGCAAGGGACCGCACCACAAAATGTCAGTGTCCCGCCTGTGCAGGGCGTCCCGGGCCCAAGTTCTGGCGCGACAAATCAGTTTACACGAGGATGGGCCCACGCCACTTCTCTCTGGGGCTGCCTGGTGACACCGCTCAGGAAGGACGCTCCCACTGGAAAGCCAGCGTGGTGTCTTACACATTCCTTCACCAACTCTGGGCTGCTGGGGGTGTAGCAAATACCACAGGACCATCATTGCTTCCTTGCCTGCTGAGTCAAAACTGTATTGCAAGAGGGCTTCTTGGAATGCTTAACTTTTTTTTCTTAATGACAGTTACTAGGTATAGTAACTGTCTATACTGTATCTATACCTATACTAGGTATAGATCTTCCAAGTAAATGAGTCTTGGTGCTGGAATACACCTGAGCCTTTGATGTGGCTCTTCTTACAAATGAGCAACCCCCTCGACACCCACAAAGTAACAAGGCTGAGGGCCTTCCACACACATCTTGTTAGTGGCAGATCCAAATCATCTGCCCATCTTTGGATTAACACGATTGCCCTTGTGTTTGATATTTCCCGAGCCCTGTGATGCCCAGGAGTTGGAGTTTAATGGAGAACCATGTTGTCGAGCATTTTACGCCCATCTTGAAGTTTTGAAGGAAGATAAGCACCAAGAAAAGAAAATAAATAAAATCCAATATGACTTCTCTTGATGATTTTCTCTACCCCCATGTCGGTATGCTAGGAAAGCCTTGGGTTTTGGAAAGAAGCATGAGGAATACCTGGCTAATAATCAAAGCATAGTTCTTATTTGTTAATGACTTCTCTCCTAGACTCTGAGTTCCTTTAGAGCAGAGACTTGTTTTTCTCGTATCCCTAGAGTTTGGTACATTGTAGGTGTTTAGTAAACTTACTTTGAATTGAATAATGCTAAATTGGAATAATTCCTAGATTATGACAAAATTGCAAGATTGAAGATGATCACTTTCAGAAAAAATGTTTCGGCTGGGCTCGGTAGCTCACGCCTGTAATCCTAGCACTCTGGGAGGCCGAGGCGGGAGGATTGCTCGAGGTCAGAAGTTTGAAACCAGCCTGAGCAAGAGCAAGACCCCATCTCTACTATAAATAGAAAGAAATTAATTGGCCAACTAATATATATAGAAAAAATTAGCCAGGCATGGTGGCACATGCCTGTAGTCCCAGCTACTTGGGAGGCTGAGGCAGGAGGATTGCTTGAGCCCAGGAGTTTGAGGTTACTGTGAGCTAGGCTGATGCCACGGCACTCACTCTAGCCTGGGCAACAAAGCTAGACTCTGTCTCAAAAAAAGAAAGAAAGAAAGAAAAAATGTTTCAGCTCATATTGGAAAGTACATGGTTGGCTATGTTGTTGTTGAAGTGCTGTCATGAAGCAGGACCATGCCAACACGTCTATTTGTTGCCCAGCCTGGGTGTGTTGAGTGTTTTAACTTTGCTATGCTTGTAAAAGTCAAGGATATGATGGAGTGGTGGTCTCAAAAAAAAGTCAAGGTTATGGCAATGGCATCAACCTTCATGAAAAGAGAGGGTTCAACTGAACCAAATATCAGTGATACTTCTATTTTGAGGTGTGTGTATGTGTGAATGGTGACAATGTTGACTGATCCATATTCCAGCTGGCTATCCCAATGAGTATGAATAGTGAAAACAGGGTTATTGGACCAAATATAAGTTACATTCCAAGGTTTGATCCCAAGACTAAAGAATGCCTAAGCAGGAAGGTAGGGTTCTGGTTCCCCTTCTTTTACTGGTTGAATAACTGTGATCAGTCCCTTGTTAATGGGGGTGCAGAAGAGGATAATGACCCTGAACTGGGCAGGTCCACTGTTAGATGTTTCACTAATATTCTGGACTTCATCATTTTAGCATTTACCACATTGCTTTTAAATCATCATGCAATTATTTGTTTATTGTCTCTCTTTCCCACTAGAATAAAACAGGGCTGGGACAGGGACGGCGATTACCTTGTTCACTGCTCTTCCCAGCACCTAGCATGATGCCTGGCATTTGGTTGGCTCTCAGTATTTGTGAAATGAATAAATGAGAATGATTTTGCCCATAGAGAATAAAGATTTTCTGAGGTTAAAAAAAATCTACATCCTGTGGTTGTTGACTAGCTTAGCATATGAGACTATCATCTAAATTAACCACCCCACTCTGAGATTTGGAGATACATGACTGATGACATTGAAATGCTTTTTCCTTAGATATTGCCAACTAGAAGCCGCCTTAAAATGAAAGTGTATCATTAAGGAGAGTCTAGGTTATGCTACAGCAACAAACCTTAAAATCTCTGTGGTTTACAACAACACAGTTTTTTTCTCTTTCATGCTACGTGAACGTAGCTGGTCAATTGGGCTTCTGCTACATGTCCTCGCTACTCCTCACCCAAGGCTGATGGAGCAGCCTCTGTCTGGAACATTAAACTTCGTCAAAGCAGAGGAAGAGGAGAGTGGCGCCAACTGACATTCATGCCGTCTGTAAATAGAGACATTTTATTTCTACCTTTGTAATACATGTGACTTCTTTTTCTTGCCTGTTGCCCTGGTTAGGACCTCCAATACAGTATCAAATAGGAGTGGTGAGAGCAGGGATCCTTGAAATGTTTCTGATCTTGAGGGGAAGGCATTCGCTCTTTTGCTATTATGTATGACTTAGCTGTAGGTTTTTGTGTGTGCCCTTTATCAAGTTGAGGAAGTTCCCTTGTTTTCCTAGTTACCTGAGAGTTTTTATCACGAATGCATGTTGAGTTTTGTCAAATGCTTTTTATGTACCTATTGAGATGATATGATTTTTATTGTTTGGTCTGTTCATATGGTGAATTATATTGATTGGCTCTCAAATGTTGAAGCAGCCTTTCTTTTCCACAATAAACCCTCTGATGATTATCCTTTCTGCTAGATTTGATTTGCTAATATTTTGTTGAATGTTTTCGCCTTTCTTAGGAATATTGGTCTGTAGTTTTCTTTTCTTGTCATGTCTTTGGTTTGGTATCAGGGCGATGCCAGCCTCATAAAATGAATTGGGAGATCCTGTTGATGTGGTGTGAGAAAAGAAAAAGTAAAAAAAATAATTAAAAAAAGGAATGATATTTTGATTCAAAAAATAAAAATAAAATAAAATAAATGAATTGGGAGATATTACCTCCTCTTCTTATTTTTTTTGAGACAGAGTCTCGCTTTGTTGTGTTGGCCCAGGCTTAGATGATTGCCATGGCGTCAGTCTTAGCCACAGCAACCTCAA